CGGTTTAATACGCCTGTCTCGGCGTGGAAACGTGAGCGCCGTGAGTGGCGACATTCCTGATTCACGCACACTCTCCCCGACTGAATCAGGACCCACACACTCCCGCTCTGTCCTCATGGGCACTCTCGGGCTCTCTCCGTCAGTGCCGACTGAAATGTCACCGGCCGCCACTCGTAGGTCAGCGGGCGGGATGCCAGGTTTTTGCTGGGGCAGTCGCGTCGTCCCGCTCGTAACAGAGCCGCCGCCATGGTTAGCGCGGTCCGAGTCGCCAGAATCAACAGAGCTCCGTGGTGGCGGCGTGTGTGGGCGACAGTGGCCAGTCGGGACAGTTAGCGTCCTGCCAGAGACCGGCAACGAGCCGTCACAAACGTACAGCGTCATCGGACAGCCCGCAGACAGTGCAGCGTTCTCCGAGCTCAGCTAAACGAGCCAACAGTCCGGCGGTTCATCTGCACGGCCGCTGCTCGGCACATCACGCCATCCCGAGAGCACGGCATGGCCCGGGGCGCCGGCCGGGCCGCGGAATTCCTGGCCGCCGCCCCGGGCGCCCCAGCCTGTCAGGTGTGGCAGAAATAATGAACACCGCCGCCGGCGCGGCGTTGCCGCCAACTGAGGCAGCCAGCGGCGGCCGGGCTGTCCACTGCACTGTGTAGCCCCAGCCGAGCGGCAGCAGCGGAATAGCGGTCCGGACCCGCTGCACCGCCCGTGCGTGAGTCGACTTAGCAAAAATCCAGTCAACAAGACGCACACACAGCTCACGGACAGCATGCAGCAGCTGTGAGTGGAGGTCGACTTTGTGGAACTGTGCGGACCGGGCCGGGGCGGTCAGCGGCGGCCCTGAGCGAGGACTGACCCCGCCGGCCGCCGCCCTGCCTCGGCTGACAGTACCGCTGCTGTCGGCCGTGCCCGGTCCTCGCGGCTCACCGTCTGTCGTCTGTGCTGTCTTTGTCCGTCCTTCGTCTCCGTCTGTTGCTCACTGTGAGCGTTTTGTCCGGGTAGCGGCCCGTCTCGCCACAGGAATCTGTTTACCGCTGCTGGCCCACTGTACCGCTGTTGCTGCACTGGTCTCGGCCGCTACTGGCTCTCCTTGAAGCAATCAGCGGCTCTCAGAACCAATGAACCGTCGCCTAACAAAGCGGCCGCTCGGATGGTGCCGAGTTTTTTTGCGCTGTCCGCGCATACCACGAGCATTGTGACGCGTCCGACGGAGCGAACACCCGCATCGATGTGGCATCGCCGACAGCCTGGGCTCCCGTGTAGCATGACGACCTGGTGGGAGTAAAACCGGCGGGGAGGGGGGGGGGGGGCAACGGTCCGACGCACAGTCGAGCGAGGGACTGCACCGATTTCAAGGCCGCCACGGTGCGTGCAGGGTCAACGGGACATCAATGGAGCCGGCCGCCCGCCTTCTGCCCGCCGTGTCCCGTGACGCAGGTGGTCCGTCGGCTCGGTCCTGTGTCCCAATGTCACCGGTCCGTGAAGCGTCCCAGTTACATGTGTTACACAGACGAGCATTGCACAGCACCGGCTACTGCATATAATCCGCCGTCTGATCCGACACAGCCATTCACCACCGCGGGGCTTCTGAGACGTCACAGGACAGCCGAGCGGCAGCGCGATGACGAACGAGGTCACTCGGCGGCCGGTGCGCTCCTGACATATACACCGGAGCACTGCGGACCGTCCTGCTCCGTGGCGCGGCCCCTCCGCGCGCTGATGACCGATTGATGGCGGACCTCTCCCCTCCGTGACGCCGTGTAATGGAGCGCGGCCGAGCCGGTCGGCCGGACACTCGGCCGCGGTGGACGGACAGGACAGATGACCGCAGTGCGTGACCAGACCGGCCGTCTGCTGCGCACCGCAGAGTAAACACAACAGAGAGTACGCAGAATATAAACACAGACAATGTCCCGTCCGGCTGACCGACCTACCGCTCCGGCTTATGCTGCTGCAGCTCTGCCGTTTCACCGCGCGGTGAGCGGACACCGTTCCAGGGCCGGTGAGATTCCTGCGTCCCGAGTGAGGGTCGCCGGTGGCCGGCGGCGGACCGAGCTCTGCCGGCCGGCTGCCGTGACCGTGGCAGTGCGGGAGGAGGGGGGGGGGGGGGGCGGCTGCACACCATCCGTCCGCCACCTGCCGCTCCTCCGGTCCCTGCTCCGTGCTCTCTGTGCTCCCTGTGCTCTCTGTGTCCTCTGGCCGCCCCCGTTCCGCCCCATCCGGTCACGGTTCGCGGGCTCTTCACGGCCTCTCCCCACCGCGCCGGTCAGGGTCACCGTCCGACGTTGAACTATTGTCATCCCGTTCTATCCGCGGTGAGCCAGCCCACCGCCCATCCGGTGCATCGGGACACGCCAGTCTGTGCCATGGGACCGCACAGACCCACTGTACCGCCACATTACACGACACAGCGCCACATATCGTCCCACAGCGCCACAGCTCCGCCCCACGGCGCCACGCGACGGCTGTTCAGGTGGCCAGGGTCAGGTATCATTAACCGCGAGTGGTCCGAACTGGGTCAGGTGACCGCGCCGCCCTCGCCGGTAATAGCCGCGCTGCAGTTCCGGCCCGTGGTCCGCTCCTGGTCCGAGCCGGGTCCACTCCGGGTCGCTCCGGAGGCGTGACCGCTGTCGGTGGCCCGGAACGGCCGGTGGTCAGCGGCGGTCAGCGGCCAGCGGTCAGCAGTTAGTGGTCTGCAGACAGCAGTGAGCAGTCAGCAGCGGTGAGCAGCTGCCGTCAGCGGGGTGCTCCCTAAGCTGACGCGGTTGCAGCGGCGGGACCCCCGCTCCCGCTCGGGGCGATCGGCGCCCCTCTGCGGCCGGCCTCTCTGGCGATTGCAGCAGCTGCTCCGAGACGCCGTGAGTCAGACAACAGCAGCAATCACCTGCTGAATATTCCTCCAACATCCGACATAAATCTCCGGCCATTCAGGACACCGTGAGGCAATCGAGCTCTCGGTACGGGTCGTCCCGAGCCGGACCGGTCGCAGATGACGTGGGAGTTTCCACAGAAGCCCGGCCAACTCTCTCCCGCGAGTTTCGGCGACCGTGGCGAACGGAAGGAACTAATCCTGACAAGATTGCGTGCGGGCTCATCACAATCAGCGGCTCACCGTTAGGGCGTGGGACAGCCGAGAAGAAGCGCCGACGCGCCGCCCGCGGCACCGTTCGCCGCCGCTGCTCACCGTTATAGGCTGGGAGCGGAGACCGCCATCCGTCTTCAGAATCGCACCGCAGGCATGATAGGGCATTGACGCGTGCGAGAATCGAATGAGACTGCGCCTGAGATTGCCGGCTCCGGGCTGTGATAGGCCATTGACGCGTGTACGGATAGAGAGGGACGGCGCCGGGCAGCCAGTGTGGCACACGGGGATGACGGTCCATTGACTGGACGCCGGTCTGAGACCTGAATGAGGCTGCACTCGGCATTCAGACTCACAGTGTGATCGGAGGGGTGACGGAGAGAAGCATTGACTCTGGCGACACCTGAATAGAGCGAGGTGGTTCTGCTGGTGCTCGGTCCACTTCAGTTGTCGCGGGTGACGCAACTCGGCGGCGTCACCTGCCGATAGGCGCCACTCGGCTGACAAACAATCGCGGACCGTGCAGCGGAGGATTGCCGCCGCTGCAGCTGCCTGTTTGTGCCGCACCGAGGAAAAGATCAGTGCTCCGACCGACACGGCGGCACATCAGATCGAACAAGGATCGGTGGCGACAGGAAAAAGGAAACGGAGCGAACATCGCCAGCCACCGCACGCCACGAGCACTGACCTGGATCGCCGGGATGGGGCTAACAATAGGCAATCGGCCGGCTTGGGCTGCCGCACGTGGTGACCGCAGCTGGAGCTGGCGGGACCGACCGGACAGGGTGGGGACGGACAGCAGGCCAGTCGTGAAATAAGGCCGCCGGCGCCGCCAGCCGTGACCGGCGAGCCGTGAGTCACCGTGAACCCCGCCGTGACCGTGGGGCGTGCAGCCGGGACCCGCCCCGGCAGGCGACTGTCGGACCGGCGAGTCTCGGAGCTATTTCGGTTCGTCTGGGGCTATTTCGGCTCCGTCAGTGTCCTCCTGCTCAGCTGGTCCATTTTCCTGTCGGCAACCCTGTCTCCCTGCAGACGTCCCGCGCCATCAAAGCCACCACAACTCTCAGAGCTCTGAGCGAGTGTACGATCACCGTCGAATCGGCGTCTTACCGGTCATAGGATGAGTGTTTTACGGCCCGTAATACGGCCCGTAAACCGTCGGAGGTGACTGGTCGCACCGAGAGGCACTGAGCTGTGGAGGGGGAGGGGGGGGGGGGTGTTTCGCTATCTCCACCCACCCGTCGAGCGGTGCCTTTCTGACGTCTGTTCCCGAGGACAGGCGGCGACAATTTGCTCTGATTAATCGCTAAAGTGAGTGAGCGTAATTGTCGACACGATTCTCTGTGCAGAAACTGGCACAAGGTGAGCAGCCGACAATTTCGGGCAGTTTGCAGTGCTTACTCGACACACACATCTCAGGTGGGGGCTTGATTCAATTAAACGGTCTAAGAGGCTCCTTGGCCTTTGCGGTGAGTTTTATCGCTGCGTTGGAAGACCGCGGGCGGGGTTTACTCACTCTGTGAACGGTGTGGTGGTGGGCTCCATCGGCCCCACACCCGTCTGTGGCCGTGAGCCTGACTACCCAACTGTGGCTAATTGAATCGGAACGGGCGGCGTGTGCTGCGCCGGCGGCGGCCGCCGAGAACAGCTGCGCCAGGGCCGCCAGTCCATTTACCGAGAACCATGTCCTTCGACGGCGGCTTACCCGAGACCAAACCTTCAATCATCCACAGACAACGCTTCATTTGTCCAATGGCGACTCACTTATTTGTTGTTTGGTGAATGCTTCATAACTGTCATTCGGCTCCAGTCGTTCTTTTCCGCCTGCTATTAACATCGCGTTGACCTTCGTTTGCTCATCTTGTCCTTCCAGCGCTGTCGTTTTTAACCTGGTGATTTAACTCGCGCTCTTCTTCCGCAGAAATGGTGACAGTCTGTTAGTGTCGCCCCTGCTCTGCGAGACTCTGCGCCACCCTCACCATGAAGACGACGGCCGTGCTGGTGACGCTGCTGACGACGACCCTGGCCTGGCAGGACGACCTGGTGCCCCTGCGGACGCTGCCCCTCGGTGAGTACCCCGTACCGAGAACTCCCCGGCGCTCTAATACAGCCCTGCTGTCCGCAGTGAATAATGCATAAGTAACGAGCGCCTTATCATGTCGGTGTATGAGGAGGGTTGAGCCACTGCGTTGTTACCTACGACTCCCATGAGGCTGTTGGGCGCTTCTGTCGGTGGTGGACATTGACACTGCTCTGGCACTGCTTTGACAAACACCTGTCTCGGAGCTGACCCGGCATCTGACCGCGCCCGTACCCAGAACGGCTTACCGCGGCTCTCAGAGAACCAGCCCGACCGCCGCCGTTCCCACAACCAAACTGGATATCGACTGTATCTGATAACCCGGTAATAGCTTTTGTCGGACACGTTACGTTGCTGCCCTTCAGTTGATGTCTCGATGTTGATCAGCCGAGCTATTACTGCCGCGTTTACGGCTATTTTTCTGTCGTGACGACATGCTCACCTTCACCGTAAGCCTCATTGCACCCGGTCTACTAGTGTCCCTTCTAATCCACACGGCCGCAGCGGCGGCAAACCCTCTCCTCACGCCGCGGTCCGAGACGAACCGTTTACGTCACGGCGGCGACGACAGACGGCCGTGATGTCATGTAACGTCACAGCTGCAGCGTGACGGGTCGTCCCGGTCTCTGGCGCCGCGGTCAGGGTGAACGGAAGAGCCATGTTGAGCGGTCTCGAGGGCGGTGTTGTGAACAACGTCCCGGCCCTGCGCCACCCTCTATCGGACCCATTAGGCGAGCAAACACTGACCATCGACCATTACGCAATGTTTGGCCGGAACCGAGTGGTCCGGCGACAACTTCCCCGTCGATTCTGTGCGGTTGCTGCCAACCCTTTTCCTCCCGACCGCACCACAATGATTTCTTAACACGGTGCTGCCTGCAGCGCGACAGCGACGTGACGCGAATGATATAACGCCGCCGCCGGCAGGGTAGGCTGTCCCGCCGGGCGCTGCCTGCGGGGTAGACTGTGCCGCCGAGCTCGGAGACTGCTACGCCGGACCAACACCTGTCGGGGAGGGGGCGCGGGTGGGAGAGGCGACGAAAGTGAGGGTGGGAGAGGGGAGGGGCCAACAGACGGCGACGACGCGTGATTTAACCAGCGGACGTGGAGCTTCGAGCACCTGTGAACGACCGCCTACGGTATAATTAACCCTGCGAACTTGCGCGAACCGCCGACGAACCCTCGGCTAACCCCACGCTAACCCCTCGCTAACCCTAGGCGAAACCGCGCCACACACCGGAAGCCGGTGTGAGAGTTTCTGGGAGCTACCGTCGACCTGAAGTCGTTCTGCAGCGGCCTGACGTTAGATTAATGTCCGGGTAACGACGACCGCTGCCCATATTTTACCATTACCGTGTCCTGTCCTATACAGACCGCTGTATCTGCGTCATCGGCACCGAGGCGGCTGAGGGCGCCTCTGGAGAGGTGGACGGGTCGCCGCCGCTCCGCTCGGCGAAAGCGTGGGTCGGGCGGCGGCGGGCGGTGCCGGACGCCGGCCGCCTCTCCGCGGTTAATTGATTGGCGGCTGTTGGGCCGGCGGCGACGACGACGGCGGCCGCCGCGCCAGACTCCCACGCTGTCGCCTCCACGAGCTGCAGTTTGAGCCGCGGGCGGTGGAGAGCGCCGAGCTCGGCCCGGCCGTCCGTCTGCCTGTCTGCTTTCGCGGCAGTCGCGTGTCTATTTATCCAGTGTCGGCTGTTTTGCTGCCCACCTTCTGAGTTCCTACGTGTACGCTCTTTGGTTTGCCCTGTCGTCGCCGGGTGACCACTCTGCCGGCGCTGCTCCGGCCGCCGCGGACTGGGTCCTGCGCGCGGTGTGGGCCCGGCCGGCGCCGTGTTTTTACCGCTCTGTGTACCGAACGCTGCGTGTGCGGCGATAGTGGCGCCCGTATCTGATTCTGGCGGCAGTCCCGGCGCGGACCAACAGGAGACCCAGACACGGACGAGACGTGGCCGATCGAGACAAACAGCGTGGGCCGCATTAGCGGCCGAGCGCGTCACAATGCCCTGCCGGCGTCCCTCGGTCAGCGCAGAATGGCCCGCGGATGCGGCCGACCCCCGCCGGTGCCGTCTTGCCGCAGAAAATGGTCGCGAAATGGGTAGGGGCCGACACAATGCCAGGTGAAAATGGGGTCCGTCTGGTTTGAATACAAAGGCGCGCCCGTTAGTCGGGCCCATAGGAAGTGCCGCGCTCGTCCCGGGGATGTCTGATGCTGGCCCGGGATTAGCCGGCAGGCCATAACGACGGCGCCAGGCTGGCTGGACCGCGACAAATCCGGCGCACCCACCGGAGGGGCGCGCCCGACCCGCCGCGTACCGCCGCCTTTTGTCGGAGACGCACGCCCGCGGTACGCGGAGAAGATCGTTAAACGGCCGATGGATCAGAAGGAAACCTGACAAGAATGGCGGCTGACGGCCGTGACGCATCGCGCCCATATCGCACGGACCCACACAATACAGCGCGCTTTCTCGGAGGTGAGCCACCAGCCGCAAAATACGGTCCTTTGCGAGCCCCCTCCGTCACGGCTCGTAACACGGAAGTGCGCCGTAATCGCTTCGTGGCTCATAAAGTAATTACTGCCCCTGACTAATTGCAGGTGCCTTACACCTAACAAAGAGCGGCGACTGGATGTCTGTCGATGAGAGGCAGCCCGATATCAGACCGCGCCGCCAGACAGTGTGGCATTAACCTGGCTGCAACCCCTCGTTTTTCTCCAGCCGCGGGAAAGAAAGCCGCCAGTTTCACCGCTCCGCGGCAGCCAGAGGGAGCCCGGAGGATGCGCGAGAGCCGCCACTTTCGGACGATAGTCGGGTGTGGTTTCTATAAGCGGTAATTGGAGGGTGCCGGGGGCATCACCTCGCCTCTCGCGGCCCGTTCGGCGCGCGTCCCGGCCGCGCCGCCGACGAGAAAGTGAGCCACCGGCCGGTCGTCGGTCAGCGATACGCATCGCTCCTGTCAGCCGCTACAGTGACCGATCTCCGGCGCGGCCGCGGCGGACCGCGCCGGGACAACGTGTTTGTACGACGCACCGCCGTCGTCGCGTGCGACGCGCCGGGTCACGCGAGCTAGACGGACCGCCACGGCCCGTGATTTCTCCCCGGAGAGACGTGTCACCGGGCCCGGAGACGCACTGATGGCTCGGAGATAGGCGCCCGCTGCCGCCTCCCGAAATACTCGGGCCGGGGAGGATGGATCAGGTGACTGGGGGCAGTGTCAGGTGACATCAGGTGCCATCAGCTGACGGCTGGGCTAATCAGTGTCATCGCCTGTCAGGGACAGCCCGGCCGGACCGGAGTATGGCGCCGACTCCCGCGTCCCTCGTCTCCCGGTCCTCGTCTCAACAGCAGGGTCCGCGCCCCTCCGAGGGAGCGGGTGGGAGGCGGCCCCCGGTCCGGTAGCCGCCACCCTGAACCCTCTGACCGCCAGGTGTGCAGCGGTCTGCGGCTGGGGCCATATGCTACTGATGGAGCTGGGGTTCTAACGAGGATACGGGAAGGGGTGCCGCCTCGTTCCCACTGTCTGCTCCGTGCTGAACCACGCCGCCTGCCCGCAGAGCTCCTCACTCAGCGGTCGGCCGGCGGGGCACAGTGCAGCAGCAGCAGCAGCAGCAGCAGCGCGGCGTGTCTCAGAGCTCATCAGACAGCTGTCGGTGCCGTGCAGGCGATAACCCTAAACCCGGCACACATTAGCCATGCTGCCAGGCCGGCATATGGCCGCTCACCACCAGCGGCGCTCAGAAAACAGCTGGTGCGCTCGGCGCTTCATGAACCCGAACGCGCAGTGTCAGCTTGCATTTACCACATGCGAGTATGACGGAGGCCTCATGGGTTTGCTGGAGACAGCCGCTAAAATCCAACTGTAAATCTGACAGTAGCGGCAATATTTGAGCGAGAAGAGCTGTGGCGCTCTGGAAACACCGGCGGCGCACTGGAGGCTGTTGTGGCGCAGCGGACGTCCGCCGGAAGGTCGGTCGGAAGCCCCCCCCCCGTCACCGGAGGGGAGGAGGGGGAGGCGTCGGCCCGTCTGAAGGCGCACCGTGGCGTCGTGCAGTCTTGCAGCTGGAGCCGGCTGTCGTTCCGCAGAAACGGAAACCCAACACCGGATGTGTAGGTTTCGCAGTTCGAGCGAATATCGCGAAAATGCCGTGCAGTGGGATCAAGTATCGAACATCATCCAGTAGTTTCTGGCAGCCAGCTCAGTTTTCTGTAACCAGCCTTCCATCATTACATAAACGAAATGAGCGAATAATACTCCTGCCAGCGAACCATCGCCGTTCCAGTCCTGACGTCCCGGCCTAGTGTGGGCCGATGTTCCCGTCTATCGCGCCGGATTAACCTGAATACCACCGGTCAGCGGTATCGCACTGCGATGACGGCCGACCGCTCGGCCTCTCATGCCGCGTACACTGAGCTGTGCGGCCTGCTGCGCCACCAACCGCGACACGAGAGTCGGCCAAAGTCGGCAGATTATCCGCGACCGGTGCGGCCGAGTGTCCGCCCCGTCCGTTTTCGAGGACGACGGATTAGTGTTAGTCGTGGCGTGTCGTCTGGTGATCCCCACACGGGTCTGCTGCAGCGAGCTGTACACAGGTGACACGTATATCGTTCGCGCTGTCGATTTTTGCCCCCGTTTCCGGGCGTGATACCTCCCCTGCTGCTGTTATCTTCCCAGCCCCGGTCGGGCCGCCCCGCGCCGCTACCGGCCGGCGAACAGTGAAGGGTGGAGTGCCATCACTGAACCCGACCACAATCGGCCGGAAGCCGCGTCTTTTGTCACGCCACCGGCTCGTGAAGGGTTGTGGAGCTAACCCCAGCCAATCTGCCTGCGCCCAGTCAACAACACGGGCATGCTGCCACTCTGACGCCGTCTCCGCTTCTGTGACCACCGCCGCCACTACTGCGACGTGTCCACTGTCCATCCCATCCCAGCGCTTATACCCCTGCTTTACATTATTCCGGCTTCCGCCACCATTCCATCAATCACGCTCA